GTGCTCTTCCGATCTGCTATAAAACGTTTTAATATTCTAGCAATCATTTTGACTTTCGCACAAAATTATTTTTATTACTGAACAAAAATTATTTTCAGATCTGGATTCAACAAAATTGATCTTTCCGTGCGTGTAAATACAAATCTGAAAATAATTTATTGGGCCATCAGAATAATTACGTGCACGCAAGCTGGTTATTAAAATTTGTCGCAGCATTAATGCCAATCGCATAATATTTTGATGGTTCAACAAAATTATTTTAAGACATTCATATCTAGCTAAATTTTTAAATACTTCTGCAAAATCGTTCTTTTCGTGTAGACTTTCCGTGTAGAAACATCTTTTTTGCAATTAGGCAGAATCGGAGATAAGTTTCTTAGGACATTTTAATCTCATTGGCGCACATCGTGAAAGGATGTTCGGTGGCAATTCGGCAACGAAAAATTCGCATACCTCGCACGCTTCTCGGCTTCCACGGTTATCGCGTTGCGCCGATATTACGTGGCGATAAGATTACGAGGTGATTAAGAGCGTCTTGAGAAAGTAATGACGGCGGTTCGATAATATCATCCGCGGTCGTTCGAGTTATTCGTCAGTTACTCGGCCGGATCGGCGATCGCGAGAGTCCGCTCTTTTCGCGCGGCGAGGTAACGAAAAGTGCAAAGTGCTGAAGTGCGTCAGAAACGGCGAACCGGCAAACAGCGCGGTGTGGCGTAGCTAGCTTTTTTAACGGACTCGCTCTCACGCGCCGATGAGATCATCGCGATTCTTTATTCGCGCGCGGTTACGTGTACCGACGGTTTTGTAATCACGCGCGTGATTCTCATATTCGAATCGCACCATCGTACGTACGCGAGAATCCTCCTTTCCTCCCCCCTCTCCCCCTGTTCTCGATTGGTAACGCAAACCCGCAACGGCCCGCGCGGTGACTCGGGTGAGTATCTCCGCCGTTGAATAATGCAGCGAACGTGCTTTAGCCCTTAGTCCTCCCTTTTCTGTCGCCATTCCCCCCCGTGATTGTTTACTGACGTGCCTTACTCCGTTCAGTCTGGGTTCAAGTTTGGGAACAAAGCTCTCCGATATCATTTCCGAGCTCATAAAAATTACGATGTGTTATCAACACATACAATGTAATCTGTAGAAAAATTTATAACACAAATCTATAGCACATTGTCTGCTTATTGTTAGTGTTTGTATGGCTGACCGCGTATGTCACAGAGCTAGTAAAATTTTTGTTACTGTAAATATATAGAGTGTGTCAGGATTTAATGAACAAACTGCACTAATTCAATGAGAGAAAAATATTTTATATTTGTGACTATATAATTGCAGGGCAAAAAAATTATGGTTAGAAGCGCTATTTTTATAGTTATTATTACTATAATGTTAGTAATAATAACCTTATATATGTAGCCCTACCAAATATAAAACAATTTTACTATAAATTATAATAATTTCAAATATTAATAAATAAAATATCAAGATATGTATATAAGAAAATAAATTTTAATACTTTCTTGACGAAAAAATTTATTGGTTTTTTAATTATAAAAAATTAATTATAAACTAAAAATTTTAAATTTCTAAAAAAAATTATAAAAATACCAAAAGTTATTTATTACATTAAGAATAAATTAAAAATTGTAGGTCATGACAAAATCATGATTTCATATTATTTTATTGCATAAAAAATACAAAATTGAAAAAAAATTTTTTATTAATTATAGAGTTCCCCACGATCGGACTAGTCTTAACAATCATTAAATTAATCAAAGTTTTTATGAAAATTTTTTGAAAAAAATTAAATGTGTCATACTTTCAAAAACTAATAAAATTTTACTTAAAACTAAAAAAAATTAAAAACAATTTAAAAAAACTTTTTTTGATATTTTTTTTGAAAAGTAGAGAAAAAACAAACAATTAAAGAAAAACTTTTCATTTAGATTATTTTTCGCAAAGTTATAGGCATTTGAAAATTGAAGCTGCGAATTTTGAAAAAAATTCATATCTCATGACTATGTTGATAAAAAAATTTGAAAAAAAATCATGGTAACTTCTTCTGATGGGTACTATAATATATAAAAATTTCAGCCAAATCAAAAATCCAAAAGTTCACGGGTGGCACACTTGGGATGGAATGCCCCATATATAGTTAAATTATGATTATTCCAACTATATTTTTCTCTCGCGGGAGAATATTCTACAAGAGGATATAAAAAAAAATGTTATATGAAGTTTGGCTAGAAATGCTTCATGACAAAGTTACAAACAAATATTAAAACGCATCATGAAATAACAAACAACGGATTTTTCATTTCGCAGAACATGAAGATGTAAGTACGTTTCGTGTACGGAAAGGTCAAACGTGGTTTACCTCATGTATATTCACAACATGTTTACTATCTTTAAACGATTCAGTGTCATAACTTTGTTCATTCAGTTTTATAACTTTGTAATAAAGTATTTCTGTAGCCAAATTTTAACGTTTTTTTTTTCTTATTTCCGCTTCGTAGATATGCTTCTACAGTTTTATCCATTAATTCCTGTATAATATAAAATATTGTGTGATATGATTAAATAAAACTATAAATCATTGCGTACTTACAAAAAAAATTATTATGATTTATAATTTATGATATAAGGAAGTCCAATCGTTATGAAATTTCGCTTAATGTTAGTATGTCTTGTTACGTATATACCACAATAGAATTTCCTTTTTATTATCGTAATCATATAATGATAAAATATTGTGTAATATGATTAATTAGACTGTAATCTCATGGATAATATGTTCAATTTTTTATGTTTAATCTATAATTTATCTTGCCGCTAAATAATGCAGCGCGGACATACTTTAATTCTTAATCATGATAATTGTTTGCGTTGCTCGTTCAAGTTTGGGAAACGAACCGATTTCGATTTTCATCGCGTACTCATAAAAGTCGATAAATGACGATGTGTAATTCACAGTATTATAAAAAAACTTAGCATACTGTCTTGTCATATTGTTTGCCCGGTGAAATTTTTATGCCTTATCGTTTATGCTACAATAAAATTTTTATTATCGTAAGCATATGATAAAATAAAATCGTGTAATATGATAAAAATAGGACTGTATCTTCATGAGTAATATATTGAATAGCACATTTTTTATTTTATAATTATACATTGTTATCTAGCTATTTTTTAGTTCTTATTAATTTTATATTAGATTTACTTTTTATAAACGTTCAAAAATTGTGTAATAGCGTCGGTCATGAATGATTACATTCAACGCGTTATTACGAAAAAAAAACGGTTTTACTGAACTATATAAAAATTACGTTAGGTACAGTTCTGAAAATAATTATGTTGGATCATTTAATTAATTTTATGGAACATTCAAGCTGATTGCTAGAATATTTAAACTTTTTGCATCATTAAATCATCATGTTCCAACATAATTAATTATTTTCAGATTTGCATTTGTGGCCTAATTTTTATGTTTCATTGCAGTAAATCATTTTATATGTTGAAGAAGTAGAAAGAACATTTTTTATATTTTTATGTTTCAGTAAATCATTTTGTATGTTGAAGAAGTAGAAAGAACATTTTTATATTTTTATTAAATCGCTAGGAAGGGGGCATTTTCTCTTCTAAAGCGTATACGTAACTCTCTTTGACCGTAAGCATTGTTCTTTCACCTTTCTTTCTCTTCTTTTTTTTCCATTTAGAATGAGATTTTCTCCTTCCGCATCTTTTCAGCGTCTTTACGTCTGCCGGAATTCATCTTTCGGAAGATTGATCGAGACATTTACGCATCGCGGTGTTTCGACGGAGGTGAAACACCTGCGGTTCGCGGAGATCGATTCGAACGAGGGATCTCGTCAGCGTGACGATAGATGCCGGCACCCACTCCGGTTTCGCGCATGTATACATACCTACCTATGGAGTCTAGCGGAGTCGTGCAGGGAAATGGAAGCGCCTGCGCCGCGCCGCGTCGCAACATTCGAGCGGGTTCCGCCGGTTCCGCGTGTTAGTGGCACGCACACATCCGGCGCGCCGCGCGAGGCAGTTCGCCGCCCGCGCTTCCTTTTCTTCCTACCTCTCTCACAGGGTAAGACTCTCGCGCCTCCCGCCCGCATTCTCCTCGGCGCACGTCGTCGCACAGACGTGCGTATACGCGCGCTGTGTGTGCCCTCTCTCTCTCTCTCTCTCTTTCTCTCTTTCTCTCCCACCCCGGACCTCCCTCTTTCCTTGTTGCCGATCATTGAGTTAAGCGAGAGGAGCGCGAGAGAGTCGGAGCGGAGAGGCAGGCAGGCAGGCGAGACCGAGACGTGCACGTTCAGTACTGTTCAGTACGCCCGTGGCCCTCTCTGGACGTGCACGGTGTCTCGCGGTCGTCGGTCGAGCTACCTGCCGCGACGCCGAGGTCGGGCCCTTCTCGGGAGGAGCGTCGACTGCGAGAAAGGGAGAGAGAGAGATCGATCGTCCAGCCCCGTGGATTAGAAGTGCGCGCGTGTGCGACATCCCAGGTAATAACGAAGGTGGCGTTCCCCGGCGAACGGAATATACGCACCCTTCAACTCTTCGGAGCTACCCCGATCCGCGACTCCCATCTCCTGTATATATCGAGACACGATTCGGGGGACCGAATCAAAAGACGCATTCGACTCCTCGATCGCGCTGCTCCGAAATCGGCTCATAAATCGCCGCGCTCCGAAATCTTTTTCTTTACCTTCTCGTTTGTCGTTGCGGGGTACGGGTGCGTGATGTCCGGGAAGGTGTGCGTACACGCCCAGCGAGGGGGAGCTCGCACTGCTCCCCGAGCAGGTTTCGGGCACGACGGAATTTACGGTGCGTAAATTTCGTTCCGTTGCAAACGGCGCGTCGTCTTTTAGGCTTACACGAGTCCCCTCGAATGTTTGAATATCCACTTTCCTAGATTTTCTTTCCTGTGAATGAAATCCGCTCAGGAAATCAGCTTCGGACTGATTTGAACCAATTGTTAGCATCGCTATTTTACTCAAACTGAGCTTTATTTCGAAAAATTCTGTACATTAAATTATACATTGAAGTAAATTAAATTGTACAATTGAAGTTTAATAGCAATCAAATGGAAATCTTTTTGAGAAAAAATTTTATTTGATCAGATTCGAGTCGATTTGATCGACAGATAATTGTTTGTTCGCCCCGTATAAGAGAAGGCTGATGATCAAGTAAACAGTTGTAAGTTTAGCTTGTTTCGCCCTCGAAAACAAAAGTTCTGAAAGGGTTCGTTGAACTTTCCCCCTCTTCGGATATTATTAGCGTCCGCTATCTGAAATATCTGAATTACGCATTGTCTACAGGATTTACGGATAGAAAAGGCAGTTTACACAGTTCGCACGTATACACGTAAAACAATCGCTGTTGACGTTTGCAACATCACTCGCCTACGCTAATGAGACCGCGATGCAAGATATTGCAAATCTTTGAAGTTACGTCGCTCATTAGAAGCCAATTTAAGCCTCGTCTAATTTATAATGTTTTTCAAAATCCTTTAAGAATACTTTTATTGTTCACACACAAAGATACTAATATTTAAATAGGTATACCTGCCAAAATATTGATTGTGAATGCTATCAGCTCTGTCGTGTAAGAAAATATAGGAAAGTAGATAATTCACAGAAATAGCGCAATTCCAACTTAAACACCTCTCCGTGGTAAATTGTCTGCCGAGTGTTGAAAAGACTGCAATCTACAACGGGACGACTTGCGACTGGCCTGTAAGACCGGCTGATGTATATTAAGGGCAAATTTCTTTTTTTTTATTTTTCGCGTGCGACGAGAGGCGGCGCGAAAAATCGTCCTGCACGGTACATTCGTCCTCTCTGATCGAGCGCGCCGTGGCGCGAGGTCGCGTTACCGTCGATCGAATCGCGTCGCCGGCGTGTCTGTCCCTAATAGCGGACTCCCATCGATCTGGCGGGAAGATTGCGAAAGGGACAGGCTACCCGATGTTGTCCGCAGGGGTGGACGGAGGTGGAAAACACCGGCGGCGAGGCGTCGGGCCAGTGGCAGTGGCCCCGCTCGAACTCGCGGATCGAAATGAATAGTTCGTTCGAGCAGGGGTGTGCAATTTAAATGTTGTGATTGTGATTTGGAACAAAAGGTACAGCCGCGTCTCTCTTTCTCGCGCGATTTCTTCGGGACAACTTAAACGTATCGCGCATCTTTCTTTTTGATTATAACAGAATTGATATTAAACATCCGTCACGAAAGAGTCATCGATCCGCACTCCGCAGGATATCGATAGTATTACAATTTGCCGCGTCGACAATAGAAAATGACGAGAGATCGATACGAGAGAGAGCGCGCTACAAGTCTCAACTGTATTACCCTCTTCCCAACGGTATCAGTGCCGTCACTACCGGTGAGAGGACACGCGGAAAGAGACGCAGGAGATCCCCGCGCGGGTCGCCATAGTAACGGGCCATCTTGACACACTGTGCAGCCATTCTCCCTGCCGTGCCTCCGGAAATGCGCGCGTAGCGTAGTAGAAAAATCTATTCGCCAATCCTTTTTATTTTTTTAGTTAAAAAACTTTTTTTTTCTATAGCACTCGACTTTTAGGGCCTCTCTAATGAACATTCGCGTGTTGTCTCTAAAAGTTGTCTCTAAAGTGCTGCGCATTCAGCTTTAATGGACGCGACAATTTGATCTTCGTCCTACACGTTCCCCCCAGGGGTGACCCCCATAGCAGCTGGTAACCCTTATTTGTCTCATACTTGTCTTACCTATATTTATTTGCCCATATTTATTATATGTAAAAATATTGAGGAAGAATTTTCGTAGTTTCTAATACAGTCGAACCTCGATAACTCGAATCTCAAAGGTAGAGAAAAACCCTTCGAGTTATAGTTTTCGACTTATCGAAATTCGAGTAAAAGAGGGTTAAAATATGACAATTTGACTTACGGAGGCTTTGTACGAAAATTTATAATTTTCCGATTGTAATGGCTTTAAAGGAAAGAAATCAATATTTGATAGTGAATTATTTATTGCATATTAAAATAAATGTCATAAAACAAAATACCAGGCTATTACTCATGGTTACCCATAGCTACAACTTCAAATTATAGAGGCAGCGACAATAGAAGTTCAACTTATAGAGGTGAACTTTGATTTGCAGAGGTCTGGCTACTTTAAATTCGAGTTGCAGAGATAAAATAATACATGTAATATCTGACAAATAATTCGAGTTAAGGTCGGTTTTATTTCGATTTATAGAGGTTTTCTGCAGTAAAAGGGAATAAACAAAAATTTCGTCTTATAGAGGTTTTCGAATTGTAGAGGTTCGAGTTATCGAGGTTCGACTGTGGCTTCGTGAAAAATAATCAGTAACACAGTTAATATAGAACATGCTGCAATATATATAAGTATATCAGAGAGAAAAAGTAATGCCTCAGTAACTAGAAGATTGAGGAGAAATAATAATACCTTAACTGCGTATCACAAAAAGTTGCGGTGAAGAAAATAAATAAGTTGCGTGAACTATGGAAATGTAATGTATAATAACGTTAACTGTTTACAATAAATGTGGTAGAAAATACCCTACAGCGTCATAATATTAGGTATCTTATTAACCATTATTTAACACATTATTCCATTATCCACAATAAATATTTATTGTGAATTATCCTGTTCAAAAACGCTTTCAAAACTCTTATGTATAATCCCGATAATACGAATCAATACAGATAAAAGATAAATGAATAATAAATGAAGATTCGAGATAAATGAATAAAATATAGGTTTAATATTGCTTAATATTTTGGGCCAAGGATGTACAAGAAGATTATTATAATGTAAAAAAGTTTTATTAATGATATATCATTGATACAAAAAGTGTGTCATTGCGATATAATAGTTCAGGAAAATATTTGTCTAAACTAAAAGAATACAATTGTCACAATTTATTGTATGAAGTTTATGTAACTACAGATTATATCTATATAATTACAGCAATTCTGTTATTTTATCTCTATTTAATAGTTACGTATAACTAATGAAATAATTTTAACGTCATTTATTGCCGTGACTTAGCTTTCAGTACTCTACTTCCGTTCTCATGGCTTAATAAAATTAATTGCGGATACTTAAATTTTTGCGCTGTCACATTATAGCCTGTCAGAACTTTATTTTCAATAATAAGTCAAACAGACCGATGTGAATGCGGAACATTAATACATGCTTATTTGGTGAAAATATTTATTTACAAATATTTATTTACTTGGTTCTTTAATAAAATATTTTTATACATGAATTTATATACCTACATTTCTCAGTTCATGCAAACTGCGCGCCGATTATTTATTTATCAGTCTTGAAGCCCAATTTCTCAAAACAGAAGCTGAAGTCGCAATAACACCAATTAAATTGATAAACAATTATGACAACTTATTTTATTTTATTTTATTTTCTCTGATGAATCTTAACGACTAGTTGCAGTCTCGTTAATTTTGTCTTTAATATCCATTCTAAACAGAAGCTGAAGTCGTAATATCACGAATTAAATTGAACAAGCAATGACACATTTATTCTCTGATGAATCTTAACGATCAGTTGCAATGTCCCGTTAATTTAGTCTTTAATTATAGTCATACATCGACACGAGGTATCCGCCTGCCTAATACTGATAACGAACAAACAAATAAATAATACGTCGTATTTATCGGTTCGTCGATTTTCGTGTCATTTTAACGACATTCTCTGTTGCATTACCCGAATATACGTCATCGCGTGCAGTGCGCATCGAGATGCAAATTGTACGGCGAGTACGTGCTCGAAGAGAATATCGACCGTCTTCGTCCTCGCACGCGGAAATCACGCACGATTAACCCGCGGGCGGGCGTTCGCGTCACGAGACATGCTGTTGCTTTGCAACACGGCGAGAGCATTGCGAACCTTTGTGAGCACAAAGTATTAACGTTACGTCGTTACGGAGGCATCTTTTTGAACAACTTTCGCGAATGGAAGCGGACGGAATTACGAATTATGTCGCTTAATTATTCCGCAAGAAGAAGAAATCGCGCGTAACTCTTCTTGCTCGCTTTTTGTTGCAAATATTGCGACTTTTAATAATTCCTCAAGTATCGCCCGTCACACCAGAAAGATAAACAATAAAATATTAGCTCAAGTTTTACGCGTCGCGTCATAAAAAAGCGCGCGACTAGAGCGATTTGATTCGAGTGCGCATTCGATAAACGGCAAGAATGATTTTGTTGGAAGGTCTAAAAATTTTATTAGATTCTTGCCGGATCTGAAAATAATTTTGTTGAGCTGTCAAAATAATTTTGTTAGAAACTACACTGTTGGAAGATTTATGTTATATTTAAACACATTTCACATGCCCCAAACGGTCCACTTAAATTTTTGTGTTAATTTAACATAAGATGAATATGTTAGAAAGTAACACAAAAGTTATATTAAAAAATTAACACAAAAAACACTGTAACACTGACACAATTTGAAAGCAAAATACTGTGAAAGC